GGGGATATGAGTTTTCATAGTGTCATGTTGAACATTAAATGGGTTAATTCATATACAGTGCTGAAAACCATGTCTGACACATAGGAAGCTCTCACAATGTTAGCTATTAGTATTATTTTCTGATGGTTGCTAAGTTATGAAAATTCTGAGACATAATAAGGAAAAGGGTGGTAAGCATCCAAAGTCTTATATTTAAGGACATTTTTCCTTGGGTGGATTCATATACTAATATTTCCAGCTTCAAATCAATGTCATTACCAATTCATCTCTTTGCAGGTCTTTTAGGGCAAAGATTTCCTTCCCCTTTTCATTGAACAATCTCCGAGCTGCAGAAGGTAAATTTAAAATTTCAGTGCACCTGTAGCAAGAAACATAAAAATTGACTTTGCATACAGAAAACTTCCAGCAGCAAAAGGAGAAAAATAAATAAATAAAGGGCCTGAATTATTAAAGACAACTCTCCCTGCAGGACTGCGAGACAGTCGAGAGTTGGACTCTGGATCTCATCAGACCCTTTTGAGTCTCATTACCCCCCACCCTCTAAGCCGGGCACTTGGGCAAATTATTTAATCTCTCTAAGACTAAATCTCTTACTTTCCAGAGTTATTGTGAGGATTAAAGATTGATTTTGAAATATGCTTATCACAGTGCTAGGCATAATCAATAAATAGGTAGCATATCACTATTGACTTCTCATTCCCCAATGTGCCCCTCACTTTCCTGTTTCTGTGTCTTTGTTCATGCTCTTCCCTCCACCTAAAATGCCTTCCTTGACAATTTCTGTTGAAATTTTGCTTTCTCCAAGGTTGTCAAAGTTACATCTGTTACCAAGTATTCTTCATCTCCCTACACCAGAAGTGATCTCTACAGACTTTTAACTCCCTTTCAAATAAGAACTTTTAGCCTGGTTAAACATTAAACATTGATTCCCCCCCACCCCCACCCCAGACAAGCATTGGGCAAGCCCTATGGATACTGAGATGAAGGACACAGTTTCTCTGTTCCCTGAGGAGCTCCCTAACCAGTCAGGGTAGAGACAGGTCAGCAACTGAAGTGTAACATGAAGTCATGGGTGCTATCGTAGACATCTGGCCAGTGTGCTGTGAGACCATGGATGAAAAACAATGAATTCCTCCAGGGAAGCCTTATCTATGGAAGTGACATTTGGGTTGGGCTTTAAAGGGTGAATAAGATTTCATCAAGAAGGTTTAAGCTAAGGGCTGCTGGCCGGTTAGCTCAGTCGGTTAGAGTGCAGCCTCATAACACCGAGGTCAAGGGTTCGGATCCCCATCCTAGCAAGCTGCCAAAAAAACAAAACTATACTTTCAGGGATCCTTTCTATAGTTTGTTAAGAAGGATTAGGCTAGAGGTGAGTGTATGGACAGGAAGAGGGACCAGATAAATCTGGAAAAGAAGACAGGAACCAATTAGAAAGCGCTTAGGATTCCAGACTAACGAACTTGGCTTCTATCCTGAAAACAAGCAGCACTAAGCCGTCAAAGGTATTAGAGCAGAGGTGTGGTGTTATCTGATCTGCTTTTTAGAAAGTTACATCTCAGGAAGGTAGAAAATGGACTGGACGTGGGAGCCAGTTTAGGATATAGGTAAAGAGGTAGAATTGTGGGCAAGAAGTGGAATACTGTTGTGATGATCCTGCCTTTTGAAGAAGGAATGTGAAAGATTCTTGCTAAATACATAAGTGTACTGTTTATAGTAAGTGAATTAAAAGTGGCTTCACACTCATCAGCAAGATTTAGCTATATGAAGAACATTTCTAAATTTTATTTCTTTTGATGGGATAATGTACTTAAGCAGATAATTAGGCCCTCCATTTCTCTAAGGGGATCTTAGAAGGAAATAACCCAGTGGGAACTAAGCCCTTACTTCTCATATCACAACTCTGGAGGATGATGGACCAGTGAGAACTGGGCCATGTTCCCATTCATAAGAGTTGGTGGGATGGGAGTTGAAGGGAACTGTAAGAGAGTTGAGCCCCAGTCACAAGATTTGCCTGCTTCTGTTTGAATGATACTGTTTGAGTGAGTGAGGCTAAGGTGGAAGCAGGAATAAGCAGTGAGGAGACTTCGACAAACTCTAGGTGAGAGAAAATAGTGTCTTGGACTAGGGTGGTGGGAGTGGAGGTAATGAAAAGTAGTTGGGTCCTTGATATATTTTGAAAATGGAAGCAGGTTTTGCTGATAGATTGTCGACAAACTCTAGGTGAGAGAAAATAGTGTCTTGGACTAGGGTGGTGGGAGTGGAGGTCATGAAAAGTAGTTGGGTCCTTGATATATTTTGAAAATGGAAGCAGGTTTTGCTGATAGATT